TACCAATAGCGAGCTTGGAATTCAGAAGAAGACCCTGCTGACTCTAAGTGCAGTGGGATCAGACGGACAAATTAGGCGTGAGCTTAACTGGATTCTTTGTGCTGGTAAAGAAGCTTGGTGGATGGAATTCAATTAGGCAGATGCGGCGGGCAATCACCACTGACTATTCCAGTCGGTTCGCACAGTTTGTCACATGGACTTAAGCATTACTGGTACAATCAATGGGATCGCCGATGCACCATACGGATCACCATCTGGGTCGTTGGACGGAGCATTTTCGAGTGTCTTCCAGTTGACCCCCTGCTTCTGGCCCTTCCCTACTCAGGTGGTGCAGGCTGAATCATGACCGGTTACTCTTTTTAACCCCATCGGACGCTGGGTTTCGAAACACAGTGACAACCTTTTATGGTTTTTGCCCTGTCGGTCCGAATGCAAAGCACTGGACTATGTTTTCACGTAAGAATCGATCATAGTGGTGTATATTACAATGCCAATCACACTGTGCTAATCGAAGCAAGATTAGTCTGACTCCAGCAGTGACAGAGTTACTGGCCCGAGTTCTCTGTCTCCCGAGTTAGGGTAGAACAAACGCGGATGTAGAACCTGGTCATGGACCGGGTTTTACAGCAAAGTCACACGTACCGTAGGCCGTCCATAGCTTTATTCCTCAATTTTAGCTCCGTCTATTCACCCCCCCCCCTTATCCGACGTGCTTGCGCCGCACTATGTTCCCATGAAATATGTGAACAGTTTATCTTCTCTGTGCTAGAACACCACAGATCACGTCAGGTCCTACGAAAATTGGCGGATTTCTTTCCAACAACAAGTGGCGTTCATCAGTTTGCCCCATCTCCTTCTGGTTTCCGTTATTGATTGTTCTCTTGTGAGATCTCTAGATACGGGCACTAAACTGTTGCTTGGTGAAAAGCTCGATGATCCTGATTATGTAAACGACCTCCTTTTGTTGTTTGACAGCTGTGAATCGTTAGTCAACCATGGATAAACTCTCTGGAGTAGTTTCATCATATGACATACGTTTCGTACCTTCAAAGTACAAGGCGTTGTTGTACTTGATGACCTGTTGTATCTTGATGATGTCGACCTGGAGGCAGCCGATCAGTTCACCTACCTTGGCATCTACGCTAGCAGTGATGTGCATGTAACGAATTGCTGTGTACTCTCCGGTCGTTCGGTTTAAAAACTGTTTTCCTTTTTTGCGAATTTTTTTGCTGCATCCCTTCGGTGGACAGTAATTATCTGACTGTCTATGCTTGTTTTATTCCATTCTGGCAAATGCTGAATCCCTTTTAAAAGCAATTCAAATGAGCTCGGCCATCATAATTGTTAGTTCGGTCCATTGAATTCATAATGAACAGTGACGAATTAGGTTCCACCATCAACAGTATCCCGCACGAAGTATTCCTGAAACAGAACAAAGTATTTGGATATGCTGACGTTTATTGTCATGGTACAGTAGTGACGCGCTACTAGCTACTTTAGGTTACTCTGCTGGACACTGCGACAAGCAGGTTATTGTCCTTTGAGTGGCGTCCGTTGATCGTCACCACCATTTTTAACAAGGTCCAATGGGCATTTCGCGAAGCTTGTGTTGGTGTCCGTTTCATCTCGACTGCATTCATCCTGCATATGTGCATCATACTGCGGCGGCCCAGTGCTCCTCGTAGGAAGCGAACCCGAGAAGCTAACTTTTGTTTCCGCTTTAGTAGGGGGTGCCTTGATCCCACTTCTTCGCTTTGCCAGTTGCTTGAACTTCACTACACTTGTAAACAGCTCGTTGTCGTTGACCTGGCTGATGCTTCCATTCTGTTGGTCGCATGCTTTTGCTGTGTTGGTTTAGTTTACTGGATTAGTTTGAAGGATTCAGTTTTTTCCATAATCTCTATTTTCTGTTTTCTCTGGTCATGTATGTATCCCTTCCTCGAGTTCGCCCCGGCAGTTTTGCAATCAAACTGATCCTGAATGACCTCGTTCCACTTCTTTTTACTTCTTCGGGGTTAGAGGTTTGTCAAGCTAATCGATTAGCAAATTTACCGTATACCGATGACCTATGTGTATTTGAGTCGGTTCTAACTGCCGAATGGAGTGAAGCGTGGTGCCATATAGTTTATAATTTTCTTTGCATCTTCTAAGCGCAATGGTTGTTGGGAAACTGTTTCAACGTACGGCCAGTGTTCACAAACACCGAGCTTTCTCTCAAAATAGTCGATCGAGGTTACTTTATTACCTCCGGCAGTCGTATTACCCAGAAGATTATCACATGAATTGCGTTGCAAAGCATCAAGTACTTGTGTGAACGGGTATAGAAGTGGTTTACAGCGGTGCATTGTAGCCAGCGTTGTTGTGTGGGTACTAGACCTGCTCGCTGTGCGCTGTGAACATCGGGAGAATGCCCGCGGTCGATAGTCAGTACTCGTGATCATGTCTGGTAGATGCCGAGAATGGATAATACGGTTCACCAGTTACTGTTTGACAATGAACCCTCAGGTTCATCTTTGGAGAATTTATTGATCTCAGCTCACCTACACTGGTTCTATAAGTTATATTTTTCCTCACTGTGCGAGACAGTTCTATTAAGTGGTCTGGTCATTTGGTGCAACAGATCTCGACGGGTAGATGTTAGTCACACTTATCCAAAGCAGTTCCCAGATATTTTTTCGCGGTTTTCAATCAATATAAATGTTAAACGGAGAAGTTGGCAGTAAAATGAAGGTGGTTATTAACAAAGTTCAAACGAAATAATATGGCTCTTTGTGGAACCGTCTCCTGGGAACCTGTATCCATGCGGAGTAGTCTCTCGAAAGGTTTCATCCGCGCTTTCACGCCCCATCTGGCTTTGTGTCGGCGAGCCATCACCGTATTAGCTCATCTTCCGAGTCATTAGATCCGCATGTCGATAAGTCAGCTCCCTTAGCATGTTTTATGTAGCAATATTGTGCCTAGTTGGAATAATCCTTATGATAGGCAGTCAATGTGCTAGTAGCGGAGTATCAATGGAGTCACCAAGTGATTATGTGTAGTTAGTGCTTGTCTTTTTTCGTGTCCATTAATGGCGCCTGAGAGGATTTATGTTAGTAACTGTTGTAATCTTATCTCGACGAGATTCACCACCGCGAAAAACTTGTTACATCCGGTTGTTTAACAGTACCGGATCGAGTACGCTGGATACACAAAATGTGATGGACAAAGACAGCTTCTACTGCACCAATTGTTAGTAGTATAGAATTATCATGAAAACCAAACGGTAAAGGACCGACAGAAGAGGAACGCTTGGGAACCGCTGATGTATGCTCGCTAGGATTAGACGCAGAAGCGGTGCGCGCCACGCAACCTTTAGGAGAAAGTGCGTAAATGAGTGAGTGAACTGATGCATCTGGTTCATGCTATTTGCCACAACGGCTAACCGCTCGCGCCTTGAATTCTTGCAAAACCAACGGTATGGTTCTTTTTCCAACTAACGATGAACTTAAGCCATTTTGCCGTCTGGTTTCATACTTTTTATGTGATCTGCATTTCATTTCAGTTGGTCTTTTTTGCAAAGGATGTTGCGATACACTCCTCAGTACTGACGTGTACTACACGTGCGCTTTGAACCCCTAACTTTCACGGACAGCTGTACCTGGTTTGCCTACTTTGATAGGGAGATAGATGAGGAAGTGCTCAACAGTTGCAGTGTGACAACTAAGAGGACAGCTATGGTCTTTTGTGTTGAAGTTAGCTTACCATCGACCTGTTTAGGAAAGATTTTATGCGGGCTCTTGATGACCGGTGTGTAGGTGTGAGAAAGGGACGAACCCATCGATAGATCATCGTCACCAGTTTATCACATTTCATTCCCTTATTCACAGTTTCACAGAGGTTGTCTTTGTGTTGATCCTTATATTACCCCTATGGAGCACCGCAAACCACATTCATTAAGAATGTGATTTTGATGGCTGTTTGGTAAGGGTAGATAACCGGCCAACTGTTCTAGTGATTACCCGAATGACTCACACTATGATAAACGATCATCGCCAGACAACCGGTACCCACTGCGGCCATTTGCTACTTATGATAAGTTGTTTTGTCCCATTAACAAGGCTTATTTATGCATGCCGAAACTACATTGCTTTACAGAAGTGGTGGCAACAAATTCGAAAGATACACATGAATTCCGTTCGGGCCGCAGCACCATAAATATGGTGTTCGCTGCTCGTCATTTGCAGGATAAGTGCAGGGAGTGACACCAGTCGTTGTACTCGCTGTTTGTAGATTTCAGCAAGGCATTTGACACGATGAACAGCGAGACACTGTGGCTGGTGTTGGGTAAGTTTGCTTGACCGAATAACTTTGTAAGTTTGTTTGAATGTCTGCTTACTGGTCTGCGCGCAGGGGTTCCGCTGAGTGGACAAACCTTGGATGACTTTGCAGTCGTTTCTAGCCCCTGTCCTGTTTATTATTTACCTCCATGCAATGATGTCTTGTGTTTTTGATGATGTTTGTGATTATGGTATCCGTTTAGAGCACCGTAATGATGTTGGCTTGCTGAACATCCGTCGTTGCAGGGCGAGAATCTTAATGTTTGGGACATTCATCCGTATGTCGCTGTTTGCTGACGACAGTACGTAGTTTGCACACAGCGCGGATAATTTGCAGCACATGAATTCGGCTCTTGCTTCGACAGCGGTCAAATTCGGGCTCACCATCAACGCGAGGCAGACTAGTTAGCTTTTCCAGCCATCACCAGGAACGAAGTCCGTGAGCCTGACGCAAATCCACATTAGGGACGACGTTTTGACAACTATTTCGAGCTTTCGCTACCTAGCAATGTCTTTCGACATGCAGATGACGAGGAAGCCGCACATGCGCGATTTGAAAGCGACTGCCTCATTTGGAAAGCTGGAAAAGATATATGGAACAATCACTGTTGGGACGAAGCTGATAGTTCACAAGTCTATGGTGCTGTCCGTTCTTTTATACGACAGCGAAACTTTGACGAGGTACCGGAATTATCCTCCATATTTAAAGTGATTTCAGCCACAACGCCTACGCCGTAATCTGCGCCTCGATTGCAGTGACAGAGTTGCTGACATGGAGGTGACCTGCCGCAGTGACATGTAAGCAGTGGACTGCATATTTCCGCTACTGCATCTGAAGTGGCTCGGGCATGTTTGTCGCATGGATTCGACTCGGATACCGAAACGGCTGTTTTATGACCAACTGCGTACAAGGAAGCGACACGTGGGAAAACCGAAGTTACCAGGACATGATCAAGGTGAGTTTATCACGAAATAATGTTGATTTCAGATCTTGCGGATCAAAGGCGGTTGATCGGCACCAATGGTATGGGTTTATCAAGAGGGCGTTTGCCCAGGCGCATGAGAAATCACTACTGCATGCTGAAATGAAATCCCAGCTACGGAAGCAACAGGCGCGCCGATGTAGAGTAGCCCATAGACATCGAGCGCATCTCGTTATGATACATGCGTTCACGAGTGATTGAGCCAAAGCGGCTTGATAAACCACCAGCGTCGCCATGCGAGTCCATCATGGAAAAGGCGACAGATCAGTTGAATAGGTAATCATCTTCAACGCAGCGCCTGGTAAGCACGCAGTTTCCGGTGCAATTCCACTTACTAACTCTGTTCAATAATGCGGTTGATATGTTACGTGTGCCACACCATCTTTGCGGTTGGTCTGTTTGTGTGCTGCGTGTTGACTTTCTTACATTTTCACCTCCTTTAATAGCTCCAGTAGACTGCTACTCTTTGTTGGAGGAGCAGGTTGCACGCGGTCCTTGTGACCACGCTAAGCTCAAATGTACTGTTGTACACTAGTACCATTGCAACATTACCGCATCACTTTGCTCGCTACTTGTTAGTACTTGAGCATGTTCTGCAAGGTAAAGTTTCCCAGGAAGACAATTTTTTTAATGAGAATACTATATGAATCCAAATATTCGTCAATAACTTTCAGATACTTCAAGCGACGCATCCACCTGCCTCCTCGTTGGTTGGAGTGAGAACTAAACCGCTGATCTCGGCCACTAACCTTGTTCTGTAATTTGAAATTTTCTACAGGCCTCTGGTTGTGCGTCAATTTCCACACCACTTTTGCCGTTTCAGTAGCTGGTCCTGTGATATGTTTTCGCGTCATCCCTTTGACTTTTATTCCTGGCTAGGTTGTAGCTTTCGAGGAACGAGATCGTTATAATCATGAGAGGGAGGATTTTTGGTTGATTTTTGCCGATTTGTTCCTGCGGCTTATAAGCCAGGTAATCTAGCCCCATTTCGTAGCCGCTCCAGATGATCGTTTCACCCTATTAGGGCTCATCAGTGCTGCGTATTCCCGTGACCCCTGAGGGCGATCGAACCCATGGCCGATATTAGCTTACGCTACCTAGCTAACAGCTTATGCCACTGAGCCATAGGGGGGACGGAAGCTTGCCGTCTTAACTTGCAGGCTAACTGGGATATAGCGCAACCCATCCTCCACTGTCATGCTGGCTCCTATCAGTCCGGGACTAGAGTATCTGACTTGTAGGTAGCTGGGACAAATCAACAAAATCTAACAAATTGCTTAATTCCATTGTCTTTAGTGCAACGGGGGGGTCCTGCATTCATTTGAAATCACTATATTTCTCCATGTCTGATTCACTTGTAATTAGTTACCTTCTTTTCTATTGTCCAGATCAACTTTCACATACATGTGACCAATGTGCGAAATCGTTTACTACAAAGTGCGGGTTGCGAAGACATGTCAGAGACCTTCATTTAAGTAAGTGTACGGCTGAGAACCTCACTCTGATTTTATGGCTTCTCTTGCGCCATCGCCGACCATCTAGCCTAGTTCCGGTGGGAACAAGAGCGCATTTTATGTGTTAGCTGATTCTTTTGTTTTTCCTATGCCCTGGGTGTATCTTATTCCGTACAAAATTCACTTTTTGCAATCAACTGACTTGATGTGAAACAGATGGTCCGTCCGAATTGTTTGGTTTCCTAGCCGGCCTGTAAATTTAGGGATCACAAGCCTGCGTTGTAATCGGAGGGCACAGATCGATCCTACGTTGGGAATCGGGCGACCCTCGCAGTATCTTTAGCCCGCATGCGACTCATTGTGGTTGAGCGATAGTGAAGCGTCAGTACTGCGTACCGGCGTACTGCTGATGCTTCTTGCTCTCCCTTTGGTTCCCTATGGACCGGTCTTTGGTGAAGTGGTCGTCGGTTTCAACTACGGTCTGATTGACTGAACCGATCCAATTTTGCCTCAGAGTAAATCAGTTCCCTGGCTGGGATTTCGTGCCATTTTTGTGTGTCTAGGAGGTTGCTGCATTGCTTTGTTGCAAGTGTGATCTTCGCCAGCTTATGCATGTGGCTGCCTAACTCTCTTTAGTGGACGTTAACAAACATGGCAACGCATTCAGTTGATTCAACCTGTTTGCAGTGATAGTATGTCTACCACAATCTTGCCAACTTGGATTATGCTTCATAAGTTTTGCGCGTTACTTAAAGACTGTGGCTCTGCGCCATTTCACTAGATGGCGTTCTTAATGTCCAGTTTGTAGGCTTACCTTCATTGGGAAGCCCTTGTATGTGATATGTGTGCCCTGCTTGACTCACTATTGTAGGTGGTCTCAAACAATATACTGGTTATCACCTTTGACACTTTGCTGATTCTCGTATAAGAAATGCGCCAAATAACACCTGTTTTGGAGGGTTTCGGTGTGGCTCTCTCCTATCCCTGCACTCCACGACCGACGGTTTCGTCTTGGTTTAGACTCATCAGGTAGAGATAGCTGAGCTAGGAGTGGAACCCGAGGCATAGTGCTTGGCGGCTATCGCCATGATCACTAGGCCATTGAGTTCCGCGAGCAGTGTTTGACACAGCGGTTAGAAGTAGATTTTCGGGTTTTTTGGAGCACCCGCCGTGTGTCTTGGATTGCGACACGCAATCTCATTAATGGCGGCGGTTGACTTGGAAGTCAGCCTCTGCCAAAGCGGTCACTGGGACCGTCACCGAAGTGGAGGGTTTCGGTGTGGCTCTCTCCTATCCCTGCACTCCACGGCCTGTTTTGTTTGTGATCTTTATCATCATATTTTAACGGTCGTTACTGCGACATCGGCGTCTTCATCCTGAGGATTATTGAGCCTCCCTAGCATCCAGGTACCCAAAATCCGGCTTGCGCTAGTCAGTGGAAGTGGGTCTATATTTCACGCAATAACGAAGAATTTATTGCGTCTGTTTAATAGGCATTTCTCAGGTCTAATGTAATGGGTACAACAGTTTCAGTGGCACTGACATCCGCTTGAGCGGCTCTTCCTTCTTCTGCAGGTCCGGTTCAGTGATCTGACCTGTTCCCTATCCAACAATTGCGGACGGTAGCCAATGGGCCTCCTGAGGCGCATCATCTATCTGCTATTTCTTCTCATCCCCTGTCTTTTAGCCGGGATATTATCATCATTCTACACGTTGGCTAGCGGTGGAGGACACTTCGGCTACTGTGTTGCAATCCGGAATATTATCTCCATATTCTGCAGTGGTATTCTCTTTCCTTAGTCATTTGCTCTCAGGACCACCTTCAATTTGTGCATACAAATTGTCAAAAACAAATGTACTCATAAGCATGGAATTTTTAATGTTATTAATTAAGAGTCCGTCACAGCAGCTTCCAAATCAGATAGCCCCCCCACACTAGACGTCTGTTTCCACCTGTTGAATCTCGTTTGCAATGCGCCTCACCAGGATCCGATCCCATGGCCACTAGCAGTTAGCACCGCCAGCCAGCAGTGTATGCCATTGAGCCATGAGAGACATTAGCGTACCATCATGCTTTACAAGGCAACTACGATATGACATGTTTTGTTCTCCACTGCCGTACGAATTACGGACATTTCAGCGGACAGTGTTGTCTCCGAAAGGCTGTAGCTAATTACAACAGGTCGAAACGGCCTCCTAGTGCTTTTCCGAGCATGTGGAGTACTATCTGATTCGGAAGCTGCTGCGATGAACTCGACATTAAACGTTTTTAATTCTTGGAAGACGCAGATCTTAACGAGCTTGATCGGATCCAGCTTCTAGCTATTTAATTTGAAGATCATTCGCTTGTCTCATGATCGTGACCTTGGTTCAACCAGTGGCAGTTTTCCACATTTACATTTTCATGGTCATCGTGTAGGAGGACTTTATAGACCCGTAAAATCGTCTCCTATGTACCTCGTCTCGTCTTCTCGCAAGTGGTCCTTGTTGGCGTATTTCGACTTCTGTTTTGGGTCGAAGAGTTGGGCTTTGAGGTCGGCACTTTCGCGGTTCATAGAAGGCCACAACATTAATTCAGGTAATGAGAGGCTAGAACCGTCTTCTTGGACTTGGGACATCTGTGGTCCCCAGAGGGAACTTATCTCGGCTTGGAAGACCGTTCGCACAATAAAGACCGTCCCTTTCTATATACGTGACATTTGGCCCCTCCTAAGGCGTCTTCAAGCATTTGATCATCGTTTTTTTGTTGCATTGCTGGTGTCAGATGTCCCCAAAGTATCCGTATGCACATTGTTTTCCCTTCATGCTAGGCGTACAGCAAATAGAATGGAAATAAGAGTTTTACTAAAGTACCGGATTCTCTTACTCTGTTATGAGACTAATCACTTTATTGTCTGCGCAAGGAAACAGAGCGCTTGATCTTCATTCTTGTTCTCTCTATATCACCTGTCACCTCGCGGTCATTTTATAGTCACTGGCACTCACTCAGAAAGATAAAGTATATTCGTGCAGTTCCTGCGTTTTCGCCTACTGCTTCCCAGTATGATTGGCTTGCACGATGCTCGTTTCATGCTACGTCACTTAATTGTTACTGTTGTGGCTCTATGAAATGCAAGTTTTCATGTGTGTGGGTGTGCACTAACTTGGGAGATCATCATCATCATCATAATTATACACGTTAGCCAGAGGTGGGAAACACCTCTGCTGCTGTGCCGCAATACATAGAAGAAAAAAGGAGAAAATATGCAACTGGTGCAAGCCCGCTGAGCTACCGGTAACGGATGGGCATCGTTCCGGTAAGCTACCAGCCGGCTACTGTGCATCAAAAAATCTAACTATGCACAATTATATCAGGCTAAATAGTGAGATCGTGGTTGGATTCGGAGGCTAAGTGGGATGAGGTGGGACAAAGAAACTCACAGCACGAACGCCACTGAGGTCGGCTCCTAGCCATATCAGCAAGTGTATCCAGCCAAACGTGTTCAGTCTTTCGGACCCCAACCAGGGAGCCGAGACGCTCCAACCGAGGCCAGCTCCGAAGTGACGGCTTTCATTCCTCTCGACCAACTCATCGCTTGGCCACCCCTGCTCTTCTTCCATCCACAACCCCGGCGACTAAACAACGCACGTCGCGGGAGTCGGTGGGCTGGCATGCGTAACACGTGGCCGAGCTGTCGCACCCTGGTGCGTGAAATAACGGTACTGAGCGATTCAGTTCCTTCTCCTGTGCCGTAAACAATGTGTCGAACACGCTCGTTGCTAACTCGGCGTTCCCACCAGATGTGAGCTGAATTGCGATGGCACTGGTGGTCGAACGTAACTAGCCTCTTCAGGTCCGCTGATTTAAGCGGCCAGGTTTCACAACCGTACAGTAGGGTCGAACGTACTGCTGCATTGTACACTCTACCCCTCAGGTCAAGGGTGATGTCGCGCCGGCGCCATAAGTGGTGAAGGTTATCAAAAGCGCCCCGAGCTTTTGCTATACAGTTCGTGATCTCATCTTCAATCCCACGGGCGCTGGTACAACTTCCCAAATAGTTGAATTTTTGAACGATTTCTAGCTGATCCCTACAAAGGGTCAGCCTAGGAGGCGGTCCCGACCAATCTTGGAGGAACGCTTTGCACTTCGAGGGTGCGAAGAAAATCCCGAAGTGACGGACAGCCAGTGCTGATATGTCCAGTGCCTCTTTGCACGTTTGTGAACTGTCCCAGATTAGGGCAATATCATCAACACACTCTAAGTCAAGAAGTCGTTCAATGGGAAGCAGATCCACACCTAAATCGTGTCCTTTAAGCGCGATTTGCATGACTTCATCAATTGCGAAGTTGAAAAGGAAAGGTGACAACGGGCATCCTTGTCTCACACCGCTGGAGATATTGAGGGGTGGCGACGGCTTGACGTAAGCCCTCACTCTGCCCGAGCTACGCGCATATAATGCTCGGATAATATTTACATATTTCTCAGGTGCATATTTCCTGAGTAGACCGTCCCAAAGTGAACGTCTATACACCGAATCGAATGCACCTTTAATATCGAGGAACAGGACAACGGTGGGCCGGCAGTATGTGTGACGGTGCTCCAACAACTGACGCAAATTGAAGGTGTGGTCAATGCAGCCACGAACTGGACGATATCCGGCTTGCTCTTCACGGATCTGGTTTACACGAGGCAAGCCATTTGGATGCGGTGGAGATCAGACTGATTCCCCTATGGTTGCCGCATTCCGATCGTGAGCCTCCCTTAAAAATTGGAACTATGACGAGGCGGCTCCAGTCGGTTGGGACAGTTTTCTGCTCCCACAGTTTGACTAGTAACTCGTGTAAATCATCCACAAGAGCAGGTCCCCCGAATTTGAAGAGGACTGGAGGGTCATCATCTGGTCCTGCGATTTTATTTAACTTCAACAGTCCGATCTCACGTTCTACTTGTGAGCGAGAGAGGGGGATCCAAAAGGAGAGCCCACGGAGCGGGGCGATCAGTGTTCGAAGAGGAATCTAACAATTCCGGCCGATTAAACTGC